AAAAAAAGTATATATATATATATAGATAGATAGATAGATAGATAGATAGATAAAAGAAAAGTCAAGGTTAAGAGTCAGAGAGTCACCGTATCTTAGGAATCTTGGGAGTTTTGACCAGCAGGACTGGTACTGTATGTTTTTGTACTGTATGTTTTTGTGCACAGGCGAGGATCTGCTAATACCGTCACAAAAGTCCAAACACACCATTAAAGCAAACGCTGGAATGCCTGACGATAATTTTGAAAAGTTTTTTGTTTTTTTAATTTCAAGTTCATCATTAACAAGTGCACTTATTCTGGGCCAGAGAATCTTAAATATTTGAATTCTCAAAGCCGTTTCTCCCGAGCAAAGACGACCAGGTTTCTCCTAAATATTAGCGAGCTACTCTGGCTCCATCTAGTGGCACACATGGGTAACTGTCCCTCCACCCGCTTCCATAATCTGTCAAAAAGGTGAATTGTACAAAGCCAACGTGGCTAACAGGTGATTTTACAATGCTTCACAGTGAAGATATCTTCCCAAACACTTCTTATCATTTAATCTAATTTGTTAAGGAACTTAAAAATGATACAAACGATGTATGTTCATTACAGAAAAACAATATGGATTTGCAGGGAAAAAACCACCTGTGCATAATTAATGTTAATTTTGTATGTAGTCTTTCAATTTTTTACAAAAATTGGATGGAACCTAAACACACATTGCTTTGCATTTACTTTCCATTAGTTAATGATGTATTATGAAACTCCTTCTGTGTCAATACATATACAACTAAGTTATTTATAATGAATCAGCAGTATTCCATGTTATGAATATATAACACACGGTCTTTAAAAAATATCAAATTTCTATGTTTAGACATTCAGAATTTCTTTTCCCTTCAGGCTCAGTACACTCCTGGAGACATAGTAGATTCTCTCTCTATAAACATTTTTTATACACATACACATGTGAACCCAAAACTAAAATTTACATTTATTTATATAAAATTTTATTTCTTTAATTTTGCAGCAAAAGTTTCTAAATCTTGATTCTGTCATCTGCCATATCAGTGATCCTGCCTGTTTTCATTTACCTATAAATATCCTGAATACTCCCAAGTCACAAGTCATTAATTAAAAACACTGAATACCAGGAATCTGAATGGGCAATGAGATATAATTCTAATCCAAATTATTTGTTCAGTTAGGAAACTCTTTTGTAACAATTAAAATGAAAAAATATGACAAATGCTGAAGATATGCAGAAAACCTTAATCACAAGGATTGAGTCCTAGTGCCTGAGGAGATACGAAATAAAGGAGGAAGCGGGAAAGTCTGGTCACGGTCTCCTTATCTCCAGGTGACTAGAGTCCCCTGCTTTCCCATCAAGCTCTCTCAGGCTCCTCCTGGCCTGGCGCCCAAGGAGGGCTGTGCTGGGACTGTGGGGAGAGGATGAGCTGACGTGCAGGGAGGATGGGCCTGGGACTCCGCAGAGAGGATCAGGTTAGGACGCTGCTATGGGGAGATTATCCTGCATTATCGGGGCTAGAGCCCAGGAATGCAGGTGACTTCTAGAAGCTGAAAAAGGAAAGGAAGAGAATTCCTTCAGAGCCTCAATAAGGAACCAGCTCTGCCAACACTTTGGTACCAGCTCAGATAACTCGTTTTAAACTTCTGGCTTCTAGAACTGTAAAATAAATTGGTGGTGTTTTAAGCCCCTAAATTTGTGGTACTTTGTTACAGCGGCAATAGAAAACTAATATAAGAAAAATGTAAAGAAGATCTCGTGCAACCAACAAATGACCAGACAGCCCCTTCTCCCAGCTCATTTCTCTCCTAACAGCTCTAGTCTTGCTCCGTTTTTCCTGCCTCCCAGGTAAAAATCAAGATACCCCTTTACCGAATTGCCCTGCTTCCTCAGAGCACCCCGTCCAGAAGAGCCCTCCTTTCTTGCACCCCCCATACAAGCCTAATCCCTAAAACCAGCTCTTCCTGACTCCCCCTTACAGCTGTACCCCATCTCCATCCTTGCTGACCCTCTGTGTCTGTGTCAATAACCCATTCGTTGCCTCCCTGCTCCAACCCCTCCCTTCAGTATGTGCTCTATGATGAACAGAATTCCTCTCATCTCTGCTGAAATGAGCTGTGTTCAGCTTTCTCAGTAGAGGGCACTGCAGGGACAATGTCTGGGGAAGGGTTTCTGAAATTTCCAGGGGGAAGGTAGCAGAGGGTCCGCCTGGAGTGTGAAGACGCTCAGTAGAGCCTCCAGGAGCCACAGGTCCAGAGTGGGATCCTGCCGTGACCATACAGTCGGGTGACAAGCCCTCCCGACCGGAAACCTAAGCCCCTGTGCAGCCCGCGTGTGGCCCGCATGCTCCGAAGTCTGCCCGCCTCCTGGCTGGACCACCGTGGCCCCTTTATGGTCCTCTCACAGGTGACTTCCCTCTGCCCTGGGTGGCCCTAGGAAACTCCACCGGGGGCTTCCTTATATCCTAGAATCTCCCTTTATCACAGTTAACTCCTACCTAACATCTCATGTTTAACCTGCTGTGCGGTTCCCTCTCCTGACTGGATCCAGACAGCTACGCCAACAGAGAAGGAAGCATGTATTGAGCAACTACTGTGTGCAAGATTCGTGCTAGGCTTTTGGCATCTTATCTTTTGACAGGTATTGAAAAGGTGTTCTCTGCTTTAATATTACAAAGAGCGTCCAAAGTTAGAAAGACAGCAAGTGGCAGACTTAGCTACCCCATTACATCCAGCTACAAAGCCAGAAAGGTAAGCTCCAGGCGACAGTCTCCTGGACTGGCCCAGCTGTCTCAGCGAGGGAAGGGAGAGGATCAGCAGCATTTTAAACATTTATGTTTAAAAGAAAAAATGCACTAAATCAGATAAGGCAAGAAAAGCTCAACCTGAAAAGCTGAAGGACATGTCACATTATATCGTCTCACTTGTATTGTCAAATGGTCGCCACTTTTCAAGTGAACCCTGGTGCATTTGCCATGGTTAAGTGTAATCATTTCAAGGTAATTTCTTTGGGGTCTGAGTGAGCTATTTTGCTGTACATTTAGCTGGTGGTCATTGCGCTGGCAGTTAAGAGGCTATAATAGCTTGTGTAATAGAGGCTCATTAAAATTAAACACTGTGACTCTGTGTGCCCCAGGATGACTTTAAGGGAACACTAATTTGTTCAACACTTAGCGGTAAGTCATTAAAAGTGTACTGATTCAGAATGGGGCTCGTGCCTTACACACTGAATTTAGAGCTTTAACATCTGCTCGGGTATGATTCTGT